AACAAACATCATCACTTTAAAAGGTGTGGGTGCAAACTGTTGAAATTTTTACTTAATTTATACTAAATTGATCTTCTATATATAAAGAGAATTGAAAATGAATCTTGATGAGAATGGAATGGGAGAGGGAGCGGGAGATGGGAGGGGTGTGGGTGGGGGGGAGATTGTGGAGGGGTGGGAAGCCATTGTAATCCATAAACTGTACTTTGGAAATTTATATTTATTAAATAAAAGTTAAAAAAATGGAAATTGGCCTGCACCGTGGCTCAATAGGCTAATCCTCCACCTAGCGGCGCCGGCACACCGGGTTCTAGTCCCAGTCGGGGTACCAGATTCTGTCCCGGTTGCCCCTCTTCCAGGCCAGCTCTCTGCTGTGGCCCAGGAAGGCAGTGGAGGATGGCCCAAGTGCTTGGGCCCTGCACCCCATGGGAGACCAGGGATAAGTACCTGGCTCCTGCCTTTGGATCAGCGTGGTGCGCCGGCCTCAGCGTGTCAGCCATGGCGGCCATTGGAGGGTGAACCAACAGCAAAAGGAAGACCTTTCTCTGTCTCTCTCTCACTATCCACTCTGCCTGTCAAAAAAAAAAAAAAAAAAAAAGGAAATCATACTGAGTTGTTCTCTCACCATAAAGAACTCAAAGTAGAGGTGAATAAGAGAAAGATAACAGGAAAAATCTCCAAATAGTTGAAGCTAAACATACATCTAGATAATCTATGTAAAAAGAACTCTCAAGGGTTACAGAATAAACACCAAGCTTTTCAACATAAATTGTGAAACTTGTATAATGCATCTACAATCAGTACGCTGAGGGAAATTGTAGCATTAAACATTAGAAAAGAGGGAAGGACTTAAATCGTTCATGTTTGTTACATCTCATGAATTTTGAACAAGCAGAGAGAAAAAAATAAATATAATTACATACATCTATTAAATTCATAATAGTGAAGACTAAAGGAGATTGGTGAATCAAATGGTTGTTTGAAATACAATTGACAAATATAATCTGGTAACAATAAAAATGATAGTTACTATTTTTAATTAATCACAGGGAATCACTACAGTTTTGAAGAATGGGGGTAAAGAATATTGTGAATAACTAGATAGAAATTGGACACTTGAAATGAAGTCAAATGTTGGAAAAGTACAAACCCAACATGAAATAGAAAATTCAGGGGCCGGTTGGTGCTGTGGTGACATGGGTAAAGCCACCTCTTGCAGTGCTGGCATCCCATGTGGGTGTCAGTTGGAGTCCTGGCTGTTCCATTTCTGATTCTACTCTCTTCTGTGACCTGGAAAGAAGCAGAAGATGGCCCAAGTCCTTGGACCCCTGCACCCACGTGGGAGACCTTTGGGTCAGCCCAACTCTGGCCATGGTGGCCATTTGGGGATTGAACCATTAATGGAAGACCTCTTTCTCTCTGCCTTTGCCTCTGCCTCTCTGTAAATCTCTGCCTTTCAAATAAATAGATCTTAAAAAATAATAGAAAAATCAGGAGGCCGGCGCTGTGGTATAATGGGTAAAAGCCATTACCTGTAGTGCCAGCATCAGTGCCAGCATCCCATATGGGTGCCAGTTTGATTTCCGGCTGCTCAACTTCTGATCCAGCTCTCTGCTATGACCTGGGAAAGCAGTAGAAGATGACTCAAGTGCTTGGGCCCCTGCATCAGCATGAGAGACTGGGAACAGACTTCTGGCTTCCTGGTGGCTCAGCTCTGGCTGTTGTGGCCATTTGGTTAATGAACCAGCAGATGGATGGAAGACCAGCCTCTTTCTCTGCCTCTGCCTCTCTGTAACTCTGCCTTTCAAATAAATAAATCTTAAAAAAAAAAAATTGACCTTCTGATTAAGGAAATTGCTGATTTAAAAAAAATCCTTCAAAAGATCTATAGGTAAAGATAATTTTGTTGGAGAATTCTAACATACATGTATAGAAGAAGTTCTATACAGACTCTTCCAGAAAATAGAAGAGCAATGGATAATTCAAAATTTATTTTATGAACCTGGTATTTCATGATAGATAAGACAGACAAAGGTGCACCAAAATAAAATGCACCAAAATAAAATAAAACCCTGGGGTCAGGGTTGTGGTATAGCTGATAGTCATTGTCTGCGATGCTGGCATCCCCAGTGGGTGCTGGTTCATGCCCTTGCTGCTCCACTTCTGATTTGGCTGCCCACTAATAGACTGGGAAAAGCAGTGGAAGAAAGCCCAAGTGTTTGGGCCCCTGCCACTGACATGGGGTACCTAGATGAAACTCCTGGCTTTGGCCTAGCTCAGCCAATGCCTTTGTGGCCATCTGATAAGTGAACCAGTGTATGGAAGATCGCTCTCTCCCTCTCTTTGTAATTCTAACTTTCAAAGAAATACTTAAAAAAAAAAAAGAAAAAACCTAAAACCTGACATACGTACCTTCATGAATAAAGGCAAAAAAATCATTATGTAACACTATGTCCACAAGTTAAAAAAAAAGTGTAAAGCACTTTGTGGATTGAGGCAGAAGCATTTAACAAAATTCAACATGTATTGATGTGAAAAAACTCAGAAAACTAGGAACAGAGAAAATTAGGAGTTGAATTATGTTCCCAGAAAGATCTTTAAGTTCTAACCCTGACATCAAAATGTTGCTGCTGTTTTTTAGATTGAGTCCTTGCAGTATAATTAATTAGAGTCATAAAGGGGGTAGAGTGGGCACATGATCCATAGGTTTGGTATCTGTTAAGATGTGCAAAGACATACATAGCCCCATGTAATGGCTGAGGCACAAGATCTTCAAAAATTAATAGCTTCCACCAGAAGTGAGGAAAAGGCAAGGAAGGAATCTTGAGAGACAATGGCCCTTGTAGCATTTTGGTTTTGGACATTTAGCCTCTAGAACTATGAGAAGATCTACTGGTTATTTCAAACTGCTTTCTTTGTGGGACTTTGTCGTAGCAATCGTTGCAAAGTAATACAGACGGCAGCTTTCTCACTTAATGGAGACATCTGCAAAGTCCAACAGCTTGGATTGTAGTTAATGGTGAAAGTCTGCCCTCACCATTCTTGTTCAGCTCAGTGCTGGCAAAATGTAGTCAGAACACTATGGCAAGGAAAAGAAATGAAAAGCACACAAACCAGGAAAGATGAACTAAGACAGTCCCTATTTGTAGTTGACAGGATTATTACATAGAGAATCCTAAGAAATTTACCAAGAAAACTGAGTTGATCAGTGAGTTGCAGGATTCAGTATAAACAGAGTGCTGTTATTCTGAAAACCACAAATAGTTAAAGATCTGAATGAGTAGAGAGATGACCCATAATTACGAATTAGAAAGCTCAGTTCTGTTTACTTGATCATTCAGATCATTGGCAGAACCCAACAGCTGCCTGTGGTGTTCAGCATCTTTTATGGGTAATGCCTTTAGGTGTGTTTTCTCCTGCTAATAACCTCTCTTCCTTTATAATATTACCTTCAGGACTTAAGTCAGACACCAGCTGCTTTGACGTTTCCAGGAGACGTAGATGTTTTATCTTCTGTACCACATTTACAGCAGTTTATTCCATTATGGTAATAATTGTGTTCAACATTTGTTTCAGCCACCAGTGTGTGTGTGATCCTTTCAAGATCAGAGAACGTATTTTGCTCATTTTTGTATTTCTCTTACCTAGTGTAGAATCAAGCACACAGTGAACCCTTATCAAAGGCTGACTGCCTTCATTAATTGAGTACTTGAGTGTTAGTAGTAATGAAGCATCACCCTTTGAGCAGCAGTCAATCAAGTCCTAAAGTATGCTGTAGGTCAAGGACTCCAGATTCATCATCCTTGGTTCACAGGAAAAAACCTCTTCTGAAATCAGAGTTGATATTTCTAACGTGAAGGTTAAGACAGGCTTATTATTGCTGCAAAGAAGATGGCTTCTCTTTGTGACTTTATCCACATATATCAAGTAAGGGCACAGGTAATTGGTACCAGCATGTCTAGATGCAGTTTCTAGGTTATCATAATCCCTCTCTGTGTATCTCTTTCCTTATTTATAAAACTTGAACGAAGGTTCAGATTTTATGCTAAACCATTTAAGTGTGTAATTCATTGCAGTGCTAGGACAATTAAGAAATGGTGACTGGGGGACTGGTGCTTGTTGCCTGCAATGCTGGTATCATGGGAAAGCAGCAGGTTCAGATAGGCCCAGCTCCTGCTCTTGCTGTCATTTGGGGAGTGAACCAGCAGATGGAAGATTTTCTCTTTTGCTTTGTCTCTCTGTGTAACTCTGCCTGTCAAATATTATTTTTTTAAAAGAGAAATGATTCCTATTCTCAAAAGAGAATGTATCGGGCCGGTGCCTCGGCTCAATAGGCTAATCCTCCACCTGCAGCGGCTCAATAGGCTAGTCCCAGTTGCGTCGTTGGATTCTGTCCTGGTTGCTCCTCCTCCAGTCCAGCTCTCTGCTGTGGCCCGGGAAGGCAGTGGAGGATGGCCCAAGTGCTTGGGCCCTGCACCCACATGGGAGACCAGGAGGAAGCACCTGGCTCCTGGCTTTGGATCGGCACAGCGCTGGCTGTAGCGGCCATTTGGGGGGTGCACCAACGGAACGAAGACCTTTCTCTCTCTCTCTCTCTCTCTCTCTAACTTGGCCTCTCAAAAAAAAAAGAGGATGTATCATTGTAAGGTGGCCCTTACAGTCTGGTAGGTTTACTTCAGTTCTAATGATCTGTGATCCATTTATTCTGCTCTGAAGAGTGCATCTGGGAAGCAAGGTAATAACTAAAGGAAACAAAGTGATGGTGGGTGGGTTACTTTGTGACATTTGATAGTGCATTTGTTAGTGCTTGTTCCTTTTATCTGGACTGTTGCCTCTGCTGCTCAATGAGGAGACTATATTTGCTTCCTAAAATCAACAATATGTCAGAAACCACTTTGCACACTTTTGATTTCATCCTGTGTTTCCAGAAGCAGTAACTGCATTTCAAAGCCTAAGCTGTGTTGGAACATTTTAATAGTGGTTTGAACATTGTAATTCTAGAGACTCCCCCCCCCCCCCTTTTAGTTCTGTTGTCTTTTTTTCGCCTACATTGAGACCTCTTCTACAAAGTGCTACGTGGTAGTATACATACGTAGTTTTTCTTGAGGCAATTAAGAGTTTAATATTTCCTGTCACAGAAAGTTAAGAAGAAGAGTGTTAAATTAGCATTCTGCATACCACTATATATATATGCTGTTGTAAGGGATTTTTCCCCCCTCTAGTACCAATGTCATACAGATCTCTGTCATTCCTGTTTATGAAGAGGAAGCATTTGCACAGTGCATATTCTGGCCATGCATATGGTTTATAGTTAAACCACAGAATTGCCTGAGGGTACTATGCTGAAAGGCACAGAACAAATAGTGTAGATTTTGTTTGCTGAAGATCGATCATTTATAGATGAGTTGATAATTTTTTTCCAGGTTGTTTCTTACATGATAAGTTTTTCACTTTCATAGAAAGCTATGGATTTCAATAAACCCCTGTCAAGACTGCAGACCTACCTATTCAATATCATCTTTTATTTTGAACATCTTTTCCAGAAAAATGGGAAGTGATATTTATACTCCATCCTTAAACATTGTATTGCTGAAAATAGTAGGGGGGGGCAGGGTGTGGTGAAACCCTTTAGAGAATGGGTTCATGAATGACAACTTGTTAATACAGTGATAACTTGGCCTTGCAGATTTTTCAGAAAACATGGAGACCTTCATGCGTATTATGCTTTCATTGGCTTTTTTTATGCATAAGTATTACATTGTTCTCTTTTTTTCTCAAGCATGATAGTTTCCTCTCTCTTTACCCTATCCTGTTTTTCTCATTTTTCATGTTTTGTGAAATGTGAGGTATAACTTGGTTTTTGGAAGGCTGTTGCCTACTTCTCTGATTTTATTGCTGTTGAGAAATTAATTCCCACAGTGAATTAGATAGAAGTCAAGTGATTTGGTATAATGCTTCTTTACATGCACTTTGTTTTTTAGAGAATGAGTTTATATGTAATATATGTGAGTAGGTATCAATTTTATTGACTCATGTTCTATAGTTGAAGAATTATCGGGGTGGGGGTGTCTGTACATAATTTGAGATCTTCTGTGGGTCCTGCTATTCCAGTTGCTGCTATTATGTTAGGGGTGATAAACTTTAAATATCTGTTCTATTAATCAGAGAACTTGCTGGTTTACTTGGATTGATATGTGTCCTGAATTTTACAGTGGATCACAACATAAGTATATTATGTACAAGAAATTTTTTATATTAACATAATTTAAAATTACTGTATTTTTGCATTGGGCAGTTTTGTGAATAGTAATCATATTCTTTGCAATGATTATAGGTGACAACAGAATGAATAATGCTAAACATTTATGTTAGTTTTAGAACATCTTTGTGGATATACTTTCAAATCTAGAGATTGTAGAAAAATGACTTCAAACAAGACATGGAAAGCCTACTGTGAAGTACTAACATAGGCAGGACTGGCGAACAGAGACTCTCTCCACATGTCTCAATACCAGCCTAAGTAACACTCTCAAATTACTTCTTACGTATTTGGTTTCAAGCTACCCTGCTGTATGTGAAATAAGAATAAATACAGAATAGGATGTCAACAAGGCAAGCAGTTAAGTGGAATGCTGTAGGTGTTTTCATGCAACATGAAAGCAAGATTTGAAATGCCCACAGGTAATCTGTCTGGAGCTGATAGTGGAGAGTAAACTCTTTACTTTTGAAGTAGCATTCTGGTTTGAAAACAGCAACTTCTATTTAACTTCTTCCTCACTCTAACTATAATGGTAATCTTCAATCTTCTACAAGGGAGTATCTTTCCTGTTTCAATGCATCCTTGAATTTGTTATTTCAGGGCTTTCAGTGGACAGAGAAATGATGACTAAAATAGCCTGATGAGAGACCTCTGATTTAAATACCAAATTTCTTTTCCTTTTCATAAAATCAGAAATTTCCAGTATTTTTAGATGGTCAAGTGGTGGTCATAGAAATAGGCAAATGAAGAAGATGGATTTTCATAATATTTGTAGCTTTTTATGAAAGCATATTTTATATGATTTTCACTTTCATTGGAAATATTGTACTGTGTCTTAACTAAAACGGTATGTTTTCAGAATGTGACTTAAACATTTTTATTCTTCATAAAGTTGCTTTTGGTTATTTGAATAAATTTTGATTTTTAGCATCTTCAAACTTTACACACAGATTACAACCATACATACAAACAAGTTTACAAAGAAATAGACACCTATCTTTTTCTTTCCCTCATTTTTGATGAGATTATTGTCAGAATTATATGTGTGTGTGTATGTATGCAAATGCTTTCCAAATTATCACTGATAATAGGTATTTATTTCTACCACAGTTGTTTTTCTTTAACCAGGGTGAGTTATTGTCTAGTGGAATACAGAAGGTGCCATGATTGGGTTAGTGAATGTATGGACATGTGGTTTAAATTTTAAAATGTTACTTTATATTAGAGATGCAGAGAAGTGGGGGGTGGAGAGAGAGAGAGGGAGGGAGGGAGGGAGGGAGGGATCTCCATATGTGCTGTGATTTACTCCCCACCTGCCCAACAGCAGGGAACTTAGTCCAGCACTCCCAGGAACCCAACTACTTAAACTGTCACTGCTACCTCCTAGGGTACACATTAGCAGGAAGCTGGAATCAGGGAATTCAATTCATGCACTCTAGTGCAGGATGTGGGCATTCTAACTTTCATCTTAACCACTAGGGCCAGATGTTTGCTCAGAATAGATATAGCTCAATTGAGATGGAAACATGCATTTAAAAATGATGGAATGTTTTTTTTTTTTTAATTTTTTTAAGCAACTAAACTTTGAAACTTATGGAATTCTTAACATCTATAGGGATGCATTTTAATGTTTTGGGAAATTCTCTAAAAGCATCCCTTTTAATTATTTTGGTTAATTTTTTCAATAGTCTTTTTTTTGTCAATCTGCATCTTCCCCCTATAGATATTTCCAGTTTCTGTTCAATGGAAGTACCTAAAATGAGGCTTATCCAGGGTTATATGCTACATGTCTTAGAGCCAGATCTGGGTAGATGAGTGGGCGAGGTGCTGACTGGTAATATTTGCCAATTTCTGTGGGGCAAATACTTTGACCATGGGTGATTCGAAACTACCAATGTGCTGTCACTAAATACAGAGCTTGGAGGAGGAAATGGGCATACATAGTTAGCTCTTACTTGCCTGTGTAAGCTGAGTTTAGTACAGAACTGCCTTATCCCATCTTAGTGCCTTGTTTCCATGAGATTGAGTCATAGTGTTATATTATAGTTATGATTATGAATGTCAATTGTAAAATACTTGCAGATATTTAGTGTTACCATGACCTTCTAACAAGAATACTGACAACATATAATTACCTTTTTCCTGTTTTTCAGTTGGGTTGAAAGCTTTGGATGTGATGGTCTTGGAATATTACTAGATATTTTGGAAAAACTAATTAGAGGAAAAACGTAAGTATTGCTAATAATTGTTTTCAATGAAGCTACATTTGTACATCCTATTACAATTTCAGCACTGATAACTTTTATGTCAATACAGGCAGGAAAATATTGTAAAGAAGAATCAACACAAAGTTATACAATGTCTGAAAGCCTTGATGAATACACAGGTATGTATGAGTTAATTAGTATTTGTCCATCACCACTTCTGATATGAATTAGAGTTCTGAAATACAGAAATTCACTTGCACTAAACAGATGTGTTACTCTTATGTACTTTGCAGCACATGATGGGAAAAAATTACTGCATTGTATTGATTCTATTTTTTTATGAAACCAATTATCTTGGGACAGGGAGAACTGGGGAATGATGGACCCTCTTCTGAAGCTTAACTCCTCATATGTTGATGAATTCTTTTCTTTCTCTGCTCCCTTCTTCCCTCAACCACCCTTCTTCCTTCTTTTTGTCTCTCTTCCTATCTTTACCTATCTTTGAATTTTCAAAAGTATATCATGGTTCACTTTAAAATAGTACACAGTTATTAAATGAAGTCTGCAATAATACCGAGGGTGGAAAGACTGGATTCTCACTATTCTAGGAATATAGAATCTGTGATGAAATTAATGTGACGATGTATGAACAGGTTCCAGAAATGGAGCAATGGCACTTGATAGAAGTAATCTTGAGACCACATAATAGTATGGAGGATCTGCAGAATTGGATATTTCAAGAGGATACATCAAAAAGGAGATATTCTTTGAGTTCACTGCTGAAGTTAGATTTATCTGACAGTGTTTCTTTCTTCCCCTTATACTGTTAATTATAGAAATTGGCATCATCCCATGCCATTTCTTCAGCTTCAACAGCTGAGTGCATCTATTCCATGATGTGTGATGCTATGATAATTGTTTTAGTTGCCTTTTTAGACATCAAAAGAAGAAATTTCATGTATGATAGGATGGTTTTTTGTTCTACAACAAAATCATCTGTGTATTTCTGATTTATTTTATACTATTTTGCTTTGTTTTTAAAAATAAAATTTTATAGGACTACATTTTTGAATATTAGTACTTATTTGTTTTATCTTTTTATTAGCTGTAACAAATATTTATAATTTTATGGCTGGCGCCGTGGCTCACTAAGCTAATCCTCCGCCTTGCGGCGCCGGCACACCGGGTTCTAGTCCCGATCGGGGCGCTGGATTCTGTCCCGGTTGCCCCTCTTCCAGGCCAGCTCTCTGCTGTGGCCCGGGAGTGCAGTGGAGGACGGCCCAGGTACTTGGGCCCTGCACCCGCATGGGAGACCAGGATAAGTACCTGGCTCCTGCCATCGGATCAGCGTTGTGTGCCGGCTGCAGCGCGCTGGCCGCAGCGGCCATTGGAGGGTGAACCAACGGCAAAGGAAGACCTTTCTCTCTGTCTAACTCTCTCACTGTCCACTCTGCCTGTCCAAAAAAAAAAAAAAAAAAAACACACACAAATATTTATAATTTTAAATTATTCATGTCCAGTGAAATTTTTCTGGGGTCAGATTTTCTATTTTTAACCAAAATTTTTTTTTTTTCTGTTTCCTGAAATCAGATATAATTTTCAAGGACAATAACTAATGTAGAAATTAAACATTCTTTTTGTATTGAACTACTCGTTTTTTGAGAATTAGATTTCAGATAGATAAAGTAGCTTTTTGAATAATCTATAGGTCTTGGAGTTAGTATGGTAATATCTGAAACTGTAAGCTTAATGTTAAATTTTTGGTAAAGTTTCTTTTTATTTTTTTTTTTAATCCTTGAGACGGATAGTTTTCCTAAACTTTATTTGATCACATCTATGAGTAGAAATTTGTTAAACCTTACTATGCTGTCTTTAGTATAATTCTTCAATGATGAAAAAGAACATGAAGCCGGCACCGCAGCTCACTAGGCTAATCTTCCGCCTTGCGGCACCGGCACACCGGGTTCTAGTCCCAGTTGGGGCGCCGGATTCTGTCCCGGTTGCCCCTCTTCCAGGCCAGCTCCCTGCTGTGGCCAGGGAGTACAGTGGTGGATGGCCCAAGTGCTTGGGCCCTGCACCCCATGGGAGACCAGGATAAGTACCTAGCTCCTGCCATCAGATCAGCGCGTGGTGCCAGCCGCGGCGGCCATTGGAGGGTGAACCAATGGCAAAGGAAGACCTTTCTCTCTGTCTCTCTCTCTCACTGTCCACTCTGCCTGTCAAAAAAAAAAAAAAAAAAAGAACATGATAGTTTACTTGTTAGCAGTAATTATGTAATTAATGTAAACAGATTTAGTAACATCATTTCCCATAAAATGGAAATATATTTGGAATAATTAGGAAGAAGGAAATTAAAGATAGTAATAAGGAAAAGTTAATCTGTCTAAAAGTAACTAGAATAGAGGCTTCAGTTTGAAGACTTTTAGCATGTTGCTGTGGGATGTGTACTCACAGCAGGAGTGTCCTCTTCTTAAAGTCAGTGTCTCTTGGCGTCACCACACCTTGGGTAGCTGCTCAGCACCAAAATCCATGTAGTGTGGACTTTGCCTACAAAAACAATAGTCTCCAATGGCTGAAATTCTACTAGGTAATAATGGGCATGTGGAATGCAAATGGAAGCTGGCATTGGTCTTCAGTTTAGAACAGGCCAGTTATCATATTACCCAGAGTGGGTCCTTGACATTCAGGAAAGATACGTCCTTACACCTTCTAATCTTTGTTATGCCTCTGTAACCTACAGTAGCCTTCATTAAATGCACTTTGTTGCTAGCACTGGTAAGGTAACTTTTTTCAGAGTCAAAAATTTGTTTTGTTTTCCTTTGTAGCTTTAGTAATCCAATGAGAGTAATTTTATACAAGTAGGCAGTAGTTTTATATTCAGTTAGAGATACTGTGTAGCGGTAATCAAAACTCATTCTAGTCTTAACATAAGTACCGTATATTTTTGTGTTCACCAAGTTAGAGAACACCTCCTATAAGGACCTTTGTGGTCACAGGATGTTGTTCAAAACAATGAGATCGGGGAATATTCATATTCTACCCTTTATCACATGGTGATTCTAGGGCTTGAGGCTTTTCAGGATGGTAGGTGGTATTGAAAGAGATCAGCATCAGTATCCTTGAGTGGCAGGAGGAGCCATGTAATTTTGATTCCAAAAGAACAGGTGCTGACTAAGAACATCCAGGTGGGAATTGAAGGTGAGTGTTGGAAGTGAGCTTGACTTAATTCTCAGGTTCATTAGGACAGAGCCAGTGCTTTGGTACTTGGTGACCATTGAATGACTTTCTGAGTTGGATCAGTTAACTTTATAAACTGCTTACAGTTCCTTAGGATGATTACCAAGGCAAATTGTAGTTTTTAATCCTGTTCCTACTTTTTCATTCTGTTTCCTGTTATGAAACAGCTCAAGATAACACAAAGGCAACCATTTCCTAACTGGGTTAGCTGTCCCTTTGTCAATGTTCCCACATCACTAAGACAGAGAACTCTCTCCAAAAAATCATGCTCTGGATTCTTTGCCCTTCTATTTGTGCTTCTTCCATTGTTTCTGTTTCTTTACAGATTTAAAGCAAATGGAATATTTCTTCACAATGTGAAGGTTTCTTTGAACAAATGACACATACAGAATAAGAAACTTATAAGTAGCATTTCATAACAAAACATTTGGTTCTTAATTTGGTATCAGTTCAACTTTGTTGCTCATATGTACTGCTTATTTTGAGTTAAGCCACAGTTAATAGGTCTATAATCTGGATTAAGGCCCTTTGATTTTACTGTTTTGTGGCAAGTGAACAACCAATCTCTCTCTCTTTAGAATAATTCTCTGTGATGTGTAATAGATAAATAGTATTGTTTTATTGCTTCTGCTCATCCTCTGATATGAGACTTATCTTCTGTAAATTATAAGTGGGCCCAAGGGATGTAGGCATTCATAAATCAAAATTAACATAACTACTTATCTTCTAATTGGATCTAACATCCAGGCAGTAACAAACAAACTTTATCCTTATCTTAAATCATCCCACTTAGGTAATGTGTTTACAACTGCTTTGTCTGATGATAAATATCATTCTGATTAGAATGATACTAATATACTCAATGTGGCGGTTTCTGCACATTTATGAGTGAAGCAGTAATCTCTATGTCTGTACTACATAATAGGTGTTCAAAAGTCACATGTGGCTTTTGAACACTTGAAATGTGGCTAGTCTGAATTAACATGTGTTGGTGCCGTGGCTCATTAAGCTAATCCTCCGCCTGAGGCGCCGGCATCCCATATGGGCGCTGGGTTCTAGTCCCGGTTGCTCCTCTTCCAGTCCAGCTCTCTGCTGTGGCCCGGGAGGGCAGTGGAGGATGGCCCAAGTCCTTGGGCCCTGCACCCCATGGGAGACCAGGAGAAGCACCTGGCTCCTGGCTTTGGATCGGCGCAGCGCGCCTGCTGTAGCAGCCACTTGGGGGAGTAAACCAACGGAAGAAGGAAGACCTTTCTCTGTCTCTCTCTCTCACTGTCTAACTCTGCCTGTCAAAAAAAAAAAAAAAAAAGTGAATTAACATGTGTTATAAGTGTAAGACATACCTGTATTTCAAATGCTTAGAGTGAAAAATTGAAGACTCAGAAGTATTTTACACTGTTTATGTATTATAATGAAACTTTGGATGTATTAGATCAGGTTTATTGCAAATACTTGTTTGCTTGAAAAACTGTACATGTGGTTCACATTATATTTCTCTTGGACAGTACAGATCTGTGCATTTACTTGAGGTGATTTCTGTCTTACCAACCTTCTTCCTTCCTTTGAAAAAGGTCCTCATGGCCTCAGTGTCTGGTTCAATATTTGGCTGTTGTATATGTTCCTGCTGAGAAATTACAAATATCTCACTGCTTTTCATCTTCTCTAGTTGACCACAATTCTATTTTTAATAATTATCAGCTGTATTGTAATAACCTTTGAGAGCTTATCTGGATTTTGTTGAGACATGTAGTTCTTGATATAAAGCGATTACTTTTATGAATTAAGAGTGCTACGTGGTCTTTGTATCTTCAGGCTTTACTAGATGTAAAAATGTATTCTGTAAAATGCTTTGAATAACTTGAAAGAACTATTTTTCTAACTCCTGACATTTAACTTCTTATTTTCAAAACCTTATAGTACGGCTTAGAGAGAATTATGAGTGAAGAGAGGAGTCTTTCCTTACTGGCCAAGGCCATGGATCCCAAGCATCCCAGCATGATGACAGATGTGGTTAAACTCCTTTCTGCAGTATGCATTGTAGGCGAGGAAAGCATGTAAGTGTTTACAACTTTTTTCTCTAGTTGTATAATTAATTTATAGATTCATTTAATGTCTCATTATCTATAAATACTCTGAGAAATATACACATGGATTCTGTTTCTTATGTTTTTTTTTTTCAGATAGAATTAATTCAAACTGTAGTTCAATGTATGTTGTCCTGTGTAAGTGGACTTGTTAGGTGATACGTGTAATGGCACTTCACTGGCTGAGAGTACAAAGGGCTTGCTCATAAAGTACATATTAGAGTTTTAAAGATCTTGATCATATATGTCAGGGCAATAACTAAAGGCTATTACATTACATATGAGCATACATCAAAAAGTTTGTGGAGAAATAGAATTCATATATGTTGGGGCTGGCATTGCATTGTCATGGGTTAAGCCACTGCTTTCAACACCAGCACCCTATATCAGAGTGCCAGTTCAAGTCCTAGCTGCTCTGTTTCTGATCCAGCTCCCTGCTAATGTGACTGAGAAAAGGCAGAGGAAAATGGCCCAAGTGTTTGGGCCCCTGCCACTTGCATGTGAGACTCAGGAGTTCCTGGCTCCTGGCTTCAGCCTAACCAGCCCTGCCCATTGCAACCACTTGGGGAGTTAACTAGTGAACTGGTAAAAACTAGTAAAAATCTCTGTCCCTCCTTCCCTGTCCCTATTACTTGGTTTTAAATAAATAAATCAAATCAATAAATTTTTTAAAAAAGATTACAGTGTTGCCAAGAAAAATTAAAATCCATAATACGCATTTCCATGAAATTTTTGAAGACATATACATATTAAAACATCCTTTCTTTTAAAGAAGATTGTGGTTCTAATTATAAGGAAGCATTTACAAATTGTTTAAAACACATTGTAAAAGGATAAAAATGTAAAAACTGAGGAACCAAAAGAACTAACAAATATCCTTCTCATGTAAGTGTAGGCAGAGATCTTTAGGTGAAAATTTCTTTGTCTGGAAATCAGCTCTACTGTAGCTGATGGGATTAAGCCAGCTCAACTTCATGGCCTGTGTTGAAGAGTGAAAGGCACTAATTCAGGCTTGGCCCTCTGCCTCCTGTAAAGTGCCTGTAGTGTGTATCTGGGGAAAGGCTTAGCTGTACCCAGCTGGCAGTCCCAAGTATGCACAGTTGTAGGTTCACTTTTCCAGTTTAAAATTGCTTATGAGTTTTGGTATATAGATCAAATACAAATTTTATTTGCTCTCCATTGTATTTTCTGAGTTCCCCCTCCTTTTTCCATCCGCTGTGCCTGCTTAGTGCCTACTCCCTCCTCCTCCCTTTTCTCCTGCCTCCTTTTTGGACTCCGCCTGCCTTGTTGTACCTTCTTCTTTTGGCTCTTCTTTTGCCACCTTCTTCATTCCTCTCCTTTGTCCTCTTTATCCTCTACTTTCTCCCTTAGCCCCCCTTTAGTATCCTCCTCCTCCTTCTTTCATATTAGTTTTGCTTCTTGTCTGTTAGGATAGATATCAAAGTGCTATCTATTTTTTAGTACTACATGCCAGTGTCCAGAAATGATGAGCTTCTACGGTATGCTAGGTGTGCTGTTAACTATGAACTATTAAGCTACTTTTTTTTTTTTACAGAGGAGGCAATATAGTTCTTAAAAATGATAATGAGTATATTATATTTGAGTTTTTATAATGCTCACATGTGTTTTTGGCTATTACACATTTACTTATCATTGGGAGGCATTCGAATGTAGTTGTTGAGCATGTGTATGGGGCTTACTACCCAGACTATCTGATTTCAGATCCTTGCTCTACAGTTTAGTAGATGTGAGATATTGGACAAGTTGCTTAACCTTTTTCTGCTTTAGTTTCCTAATCTATAATATGGGTTAATAACAGTACCTACTTTATATAGCTGTTCTGTACTTTATTTTTTTAAAAATTTATTTATTAGAAAGAGTTACACAGAGAGTGAAGGAGAGGCAGAGAGAGAGAGAGAGAGAGAGAGAGAGAGAGAGAGGGAGGTCTTCCGTCTGCTGGTTCACTCCTCAGTTGGCCGCAATGGCTGGAGCTGCACTGATCCCGAAGCCAGGAGCTTCTTCCCGGTCTGTCTTGCGGCGCAGGGGTCCAAGGACTTGGACCATCTTCTACTGCTTCCCCAGGCCGTAGCAGAGAGCTGGATTGGAAGTTAAGCAGCCGGGACTGCTGCTGCTCATAATGGGATGCCGGCACTGCAGGCAGCAGCTTTACCTGCTATGGCACAGCACCGGTCCCTTTATACTTTAAAATGAGTCAATATTTGTAAAGTATTGTGAGGAGAACCTGAGATGTGGTATATATTATGTAAGTGCTTGATTAGGAGGCATCTTTATGACTTACTGTCAAGGACAAATGAATAAAAACATATCATGCTTAGACCAGTGTTTTGGTACATACTATGTGCTTAGTAAAGCTACTTCCAAGTATTATTGGTTGTCAGGATATATTGACTCCTTTTGTAGGATGAAGCAGTTGGGTTATTTGCTACTTGGAATTCAATTAATAGATTTAAAATTTCTAATAGCCTCGAGGACGTTTTAGAAGCTTTAACTTCAGCTGGAGAAGAAAGAAAAATTGACAGATTTTCTTCAATTGTTGAAGGCCTTCGGCACAATTCAGCTCAACTGCAAGTAAGTTTTACATACATAAAATCTGTTTTTAAGTGACATATCATCCAGATTGTTTTGTGACTGGCTGAGTATCTTATGAAGTTGTACATGGCATTTATCATTCTTTCACAGCATTATTTTTAGTGAGTATATAGAATTCTAAGTTGTGCTGTGTCATCATTTATGTGGTAGATACATCTTGGTAAATACCTATGATAATATTTTAAGGTTACTTTTCTAAGAGTGGAATTATTAGGTTTTTCTGTAAGAAACTATCAAATCCTATGAATTGTTTATTCTCAATCTCATTAATTTATTAGAAATTTTAAAAAGTTTTGCCAGTTATGTGAATTATGCCTCCTGTTTTAATTTTCTTAACCAAAAAGTTGAGAGTTTGCATGAGTAATAATGAAACTCAGGGTAACAGATATTTTCAAAAGTACTTTCAAAAAGTCTCATTTAAACTTAAATATTAGTATGAAAGCTAACTACTATTCACTTAATTTCTCCTTTAATAAAAGGACACAAGGGATTTTCATTGGTATAATTATTGTTATGAGCAGTGCTAATCAAACCTGAACATCTTTAAAGAAAATATTTATACCTAGTTTTAAGCTCCAGACTTTAAAGTTTAATTGGGGTTGCTGGGACCTGGCCTTTGGGTGTTCTAAGAAGGATCCTCAGATGACACTAATGGGTAGTTAAATTTGGAATTTAATGTGCTAATTGATATGAAATAAATGCATTTCACAGGTAAAAGAAGTAAAATGTTGCTTTTATTTTTTAAAAAACCTCTCTGTAACTTGGCCATTTTATTATTTCTAAGTGTAATAGGAATAGAAAATCAAACCTTAAAATTAAAATGCAAATTAAAAATTTAAAGTTATTATTTGAAGAAAAATCAGAAAATGTTAGAAACTGTGCAACTAATGGATTTATTATGACATGTCAGGTGACAGTGTTAGGGCTATTGAGGAACCCTGTGGCTGGGATTGTTTGTCTCTGCAACAGGCAGGCCTGACCATCTGTGTGTGTGTGTGTGTGTGTGTGTACACACACATACATGTATATACATATACATATATATGGCTTTTGTTGCTGTTTTCCTACTTCCTTTCCTGGCTCCTTCTTCCTTTCCTTTTCTGTTTCCCCCTGTTTCCTTTCCTTTCCTCTTCTGTATTTGTCATTTTATCTGGTCTCCTTAGTATGTTGTCACGTGATGCTTTTTTTTTTTTTAAACCATCCTTTTTTCACCTTGTGCCAGCCTTCCTATTCACTACGGAGGAAGTATTAACATCTAATAAAGTGTGAAGATATTAATGAGGGTAGTCCTAAAGGAAATGTTGTGAAGTTAAACAATTAGATTATCCAAAGGTGTTTTTTTCTCCAAGCTCTATGAATCTGTAATATTTTCAGAATAAAATGTATTAAAAAAAAGTTTGGTATAACTGGGTCCTGTCTTTTTCTTTACAGCAGTGTTACACTACTTGAAGTATTTAAAGCTTTGAAAGATGGAATAAGGAATGCCTAGTTAAGAACAAAGCCTAATTCTGTCTAGTTATTACATGATCACCTCATTAATTGACTATTAAATCCAATACTTGGTTACATGGGATATTACATTTCTCTGGATAGGAGTTATTAAATTAAATCTATCTAATTTTAATTTCTTTTTAATTTGAGAGGCAGAGACACACACACACAGGGACAGACAGACAGACTTTCTATCTGTTGGACTTCCCAAATGCCTGCAATGACCAAAGCCAGGATCTGGGAACTCACTCCAGGTCTCCCATTTGGGTAGCAGGAATTCAACTTCTTGAGACATCGGATTTTCTCTCAAGGCGCACCTTAGCAGGAAGCTGGAGTCAGGAACAGAGCCCAGACTTGAACCAAGCCATGCCTACGTGGGATGTGGGTGTCTTAAGTAATGTCATAACTGCTAAACCAAATGCCTGCCCCTGATGTTAATTTTTAATTGACTGTTATAAGAAGTCAACTAATATGAACTTGAAAGGCAAACTATGTGAATTGAAAATGTCTTTGGGTAAATTTGTCATTTCTTTTATGGGTTATTACTTTTATTGTAGGTACTAACCTGGAAAAATGACATTTCTATAGTCATGAATTTTTATTTAGCCAATGAATATCTTTAGAAAGAGTCCTATCAATTAAAAGTTTGGAATTTTATAGAAGACATTTAGACTTGAAGAAAACTTTAAACAACTGTTTATCTAAAGATTTGCTGTTTTAAAGTGATTTTAAAAACTGATTTATTCAGATAAATGTCAAAGTTTGCATCTTTAAAGTGTATGTTATGAGTTAAGACACTTGGCGTAGCTGTTAAGATATGGTTAAGACACTCATCCTCTACTGGAGTGCTTGAATTTGAATCAGCCTGTCTTCTGATTCCAGCTTCCTGCCAGTGGGCACCCTGGCAGGCAGCAGGTGATGATTCACATATTTGGGTCCTTGTGCCATCCATGAAGGAGATCTGGGTTGAATTCCTGGCTCTCAATTTTAGCCATATAAAAAATGAAACAGAGGATGGCAACTGTTTGTCCTAGTCTCTGTGACAGATAAGTAAAATGTTTACAATTTTGTTTTTTTATATTGACAATTTTAAAACCTTTACCATAGTAAATTTTAGAACCATTTTATTGTTTCCAAAAGAAATCCCTTATCCCTTTAACTGTGTTCCTGACCCCACATTCCCTGTATCCCAAGACAACCACTGATGGACTTTCTGTCACTATAGCTTTGCATATTACATGCTTTTCACATAAGTGATAAACATGTAATATGTGGTTCTTTGTGATAGGCTTCATTCATGTAACATAATATTTTCAAGGTCCCATCCATGTTGGAGTATGTGTCACTATATTTTTTATTGCCACATAATATTCTTTTATATGGGTATTCACATTTTGTTGTTTGGTTCAGTTGGTGGACATTTGAGTTGTTTCCACTTTTTGACTGTTATGAATATGCTCTGAACATTTGTGAAGATGATTTTTTTTAAATGTTGATTTTCCCTGTTTGGTGGTAAGTGAATAGAGGTAGGGAGCAGGGGCACTAGCAGCAGGATTTTTCTTGGATAATTGTGGAGTCATATATTTGATTCCCATTCTTGAAAATTTTTGAGTGGTTACTCAATTTTATAAAAATAAATGCTTTAGTTGATGATGATAATGATTTTTTTTTAAGATTTATTTATTTGGAGAGCAGAGTTTGCAGAGAGAGAGAGGGACAGAGAGAACAAGCTCCCATCTGCTGATTTACTCCCGAGATGGCTGCAATGGCTGGGGCTGGGCCAGGCCAAAGCTGGGAGCCTAGAGCTTCCTCTGTGTCTCCCATGCGGGTACAGAGGCTCAAGCACTTGGGTCATATTCTGCTGCTTGTCTCAGGCCATAGCAAAGAGCTGGATTGGAAGTGGAGCAGCCAGGTCTCAAACCAGTGCCCATATGGGATGCCAGCATCACAGGTGGTGGCTTTCCCCTCTACACCACAGCACCAGCCCCAGTAATGATATTTTCTGTTAAACTTGGTAGGTTTGGAAATTTATGAATGTCCCTTATAATTTTTTTTCTTTTGTTTGAAAAATCAGTAACTTGGAGAGAAGAAGAGGGAAAGAGAGAGAGAAAGAGAATCTTCAGTCTGTTGCTTCATTCCCTATATGATCTGCAAGAGCAGGTCAGGGCTAAGCTGAATCCAGGATCTAGGAACTCCAACCTGGTCTTCCACATGGTGGCAGAGACTCAAGTAGTTGCCTTTCTAGGCAATTAGCAGGAAGTTGTATAGGAAGCAGAGTAGCCAGGTCTCAGGATTCGAACCTGTGCTCAGGTGTAAGGATGCTGACATCACAAGCAGAACCTTAACTTGCTGTGCTAAAAAGCCTGTTTTTATCAAGAAGTGAATATTTATCAAGAAGTGAATAGTCATTAGCACATCATCTACATTAATTTATGTCTCATTTTTATGATACATTCAGGTTAAATTTCCATTGCTCTTGATAAAGAAGAGACAATGGGAAGAATTGTTCAAGCTTCTTTATTTCGTTCAACTTTTTTGTTGTAAATTTTCCCTCTTTAGTGAGTTTTTCCTCATTGTTTTAAAGCTTAATATGTGAAATAGCTAGAAGGTGGTAAGCTTAAGCATATAAGGTACCATTTTCTAGAGAGATAACTTAGATTTTAAAAAAGTATATTCTATTTTCTAATTACTAATTATGTTCTATTTCCTTTAAAATTACCAAGCAACACTTTCCTAATATATGAAAATACTTTCTTCTTTATTTTCCCCAAATAAAGTATATTTTAGAACTAGCTTGGCTATTAATTTTCCCATAAAGCTGGTGTGCTAAGTGCTCATTTCATTCCATTAGCTATATAATTTGCATTTATTAAAATGTACTAGTCTGGGTGATATCAGCAAATCACCAAATTAAAAATAAAACTTGTTTGTCACTGAATAAGATAAAAACCAATTGTTTGCTTTTAAATTAGAGAAACTCGGAGGTAGTAACAAAAAATTCTCATTGTTCTTTCATTGCGAAGTATATTTATAGCAAAGTAGTTTTTAAAGGAGGATTGTTTTTCTTGATAGTCTGATCATAATAATAAAGATAATTTACCTGTGATTATGATAGAATTGAGTATACTTTTTCCCCATTTGATGTAGTAAGAAAATGAAAAGCTGTTTACCTGAAATGAAATAGTTTCAGGCCTTAGAGTCTTATCAGAAAAGAAAGTATAGATATGAATATGGGGCTTAAAATAAGCAAACATTATTTTCTTTTCTCAAATATATCAGACAGGGTTATCCTGCTGCAAGCAACATAATCCCCTGTAGGTGACTTAGGCAGAAAATGCTACTGGGCACCTTACAGATTTTTTTGGAGCCTCAGGAAACTCCATGTGGATAATGCATCACTAGAAGTAATGCAGAACAAAAAGGCCATACTAAAGTATGGCAGTATTGTCATGGAAACCCTTTTCCCAACGCTCTGCCCTGGTCAGCAA